AAGGATGACACCAAGTCCCAAACTATCTTGCCACTGCTCCCCATGTAGTCTGGGCATCTGGGAGGCTCCACGTGACTATCTTTTCTCTCATAAATACAAAACTTATATGTATAGCCTGTTGCCCTCTCACAGGTCTTATACACCTTGACCCCATATCTCGCACACTTGCTGGGGAGAAATTGTTTGAATGCAAGGCAGCCAGAAAAATTTATGAGGAACTCATCAATGCAGATTTTTTTTGGTGGGAAGTATAGACATCTGCAAATTTTTGGTTAAGGTGATTTACAAGAGGCAAAATTTTGTGGAGCTGGTCAAATTCAGGGTCACCTACTGACACTGCATTTGCTGGGGTAGAAGGGGGGGGTAAGCGTAGGCCGCCCGTGAAAAGCGCGAGAGCACGACTCATGTATATATATGTGATTTTGCGCAACCGTGCCACCCTGTAGCAGTATTTCTGCTATAGAGCAACCACTTGTCCTCCAGAGGATTTACCCCCCTTCCTGATCAGGCCTTTTTTTGTGATACAGCGCTGCGTTACTTTAACTAACAATTGTGAGGTCATGCGATGCTGCACCCAAATGAAATGTATGTCCTTTTTTTCCACAAATAAATCTTTCTTTTGGTGGTATTTGAGCGCCTCTGTGTATTTTATTTTTTTGCGCTATAAACAAAAAAAATTACAATTTTGAAAAAAACATAAAAGATATCCAGTAAAAAAATATTAAAAATCAAATTTCGTCATAAACTTAGGCCAACATGTATTCTGCTACATGTCTTTGCTAAAAAAAATCCCAATACCTGTAAATTAATTGGTCTACATGAAAGTTATACACTAACTGACACTGATTAACTGCCTCTGACATCCCCAGTGACACTAATACTGTGATCAGACCTACAAAAAGCACTGACACTGTACTAATTACACTGGGCAGGAAAGAGTTAACATCTGGGGCGTTATGAAGATATGGCCATCCCTGAGCCTAACGCCATGGATGTTTAGACAACTTCATCACTTTATACAAAGCTCCCCACATTTAAAAGATTATTCAAGGCCACTTACCTCATATGAGAAACTTTGCTTTACGGACTCCCCCCAAAGACATGTTATATCCAAGCTCTGCTATGCAGAGAAAAAAAAACAAAGCATGCTGGAGTTCACAGGGGGTATTGTTTACATACAGACCTCTCCTCTGTAAGTGTTCTTTGGCAATCGCCAGGTGCTGGAGGAGAATCTCAGCGTCCCCTATTAGTGCCCATCATTGCCTCCTATCAGTGCTCTTCAGTGCAGCCTATCAGTGCTGCCTACAAGTGCCCACCAGTGCTGCTTATCAGTGCCCATCAGTGCTGCCTATCAGTGCAGCCTCATAAATTCACATCAGTGAAGGAGAAAAATGACCTGTTTGCAAACTGTTATAATAGAAACAAAGAAAATCTTTTTTTTTTTTTCATTTGTAGTGCAAAAAATAAAAACACCCTATTGGTGATTAAATGCCACCAAAAGAAAGCTCTATTTGTGTGAAAAAAATGCTAAAAATTTCATATGGGTACAATGTTGCATGACCGCACAATTGTCATTCAAAGTGCGACAGCACTTTGCAGAGCCATACTATGCTATGCAGAGCCATACAAAGCAATGTGCAGGAGCTGAGAGGGGAGAGATCTGTACAGGTCTCTCCCCGTCAGTGATACTTGGCGATCACCGGGTGCTGGCGGGGAATCACTGGCCGGGACCCGTTGATCGACAGATAAGGTCGCCAATGGTGGTGCGCGTGCACCCCCTACCTGGGAATGCAAATCATGTATATATATGTGATTTTGCGCAGTCCTGTAGCAGTATTTCTGCTATAGGGCAGCGGGAAAGCGGTTAAACTTTTTTGTAAAAATTTTTGCAGTTGCATCCTGGTTTCTCGCCTAGTTTTCATGGGAACTTTTTTTGTCTTTCACCTGGAGAAGGGGTTTTCTCAGCTAAGCACACCCTCTTGCCTGTATGCCTGAGCTAAGGACGGATGGATTCCAGGAAGTAAATACTACTGTACATGAATCATCTGCCCTCACTCAAGATGGTGTGGGCATGAATGCTAGGGGGTGTTTTTCAAACTGCTTTCTCAACAAAATAAAGCATGGCGACATGGATGGATGGTTGAGTTTACTTTGAATATTAAAAATTAATCAAGTAGCAATTTTTGTTTGTGGCGCTCAGATGCAGTTTAAATCCAAGTCTGAGGGTTTAATGTCACTTTAACCATTCCCTAAACTGGAAAAAAGTTCTGTCTTTACATACACTCAAAAATGCAGTACTCATTGGATCGTAAAGTTTATTTAGAAGTAGTTGAAGTGAATATCACATATTACACACTTTACACTATGAAACAAATAGAACACATTCAGGGTATATTAAAAAAGCATGTGACTATGACTTTCACAAACTGTGCTGAAGTACTGCCCAGACCAAAGTGTTTTCAATGAGAGTCACCAGGGAATGTTTGTAAAAGTCACATTCTCTGCTTAATAAATAGACCTTTTTAGCATTTTGCAATTGCATGCAGATAAAGGTATATACATATACACATGCAAAGACAACACAATCTACATGCTTACACATAATATGTATACGTTGTAGTGAATTTTACTTATTAACAGAATAAAATAGTTAAAAATAAAACTTTTAGTTCTGCTTAAAGTAGAGATTGATGGGATGTAGCGCTTTTCCAAAAAAAGATGCAGAGTTCCATTATGTTCCCTATTAAATGTTATTGCCATTTTCCTTTCTTTTAATATAGACTTGGAGCCCAGAGGTAAAAGGGACTTTCCTCACAACAGGTTTACTGTTGAAAGTGAAGCAAGAAAAAAAAAAGTTGTGGTTAGATTCTGGAACACAAATCAGCCAAGCAGCCACCTCTACAATTTTCCTATCACTTTTTCAACGTTGTTACTATACTATAATAGCACCATAGCTGCGATTAGATGCAAGAACCCCAGTAGGGGGTTCTGGCAATTAGCTGCAAGAAGGCATCCCTATTGAAAGCAATGGGAGGCTGTTGGCTCTTGCAGCCAATTGCGCCCACTCGCATGTAATCCCTCATGCAGCGATCGCATGCGAGTGTTCCAGAATGCCTATATCCAGGGCCAATCACTCACATATTATCACTGCTTGGGAGATTACATGCAAAATGGGCACAATTAGCTGCAAGGATGGCAGCCTTCAATTGCTTCCAATGGGGCTGCCTACTTGCAGCCAATCACAGGAATCCCCCGCTGGGGTTCTTGCATCTAATCACAGCTAGGGCACATTCGCAGGTGTTAATGCAACCTGAACCTATTGCAGAATATATGAACAAAATGTTTTTGTGACAATATTCTTTCTGGTTTAAAGTGAACTTGTGAAGATGGCTGACTTTTTTCTAATGGCATGGGTCCTGGAAAAGTCATCCTTAGCAAGTCAGTGTCCGGGAACAAACATGCAGCCAGTGAAGTCTGAAAAAAAAATCTGAATTCCCATCTTGCATACCTATTCCAGGACAGAGATTCACTAGGCGATGGTCTAGTGAAGGCGATGGTCTAGGCGAAGGTCAGCACAACAGACCTTTTAGAAAAAGTCTTCATTGGCAGACATTATGGGGTTTATTTACTAAAGCTGGAGAGTCCAAAATCAGACTCCCTTCTGCATAGAAACCAATCAGCTTCCAGGTTTCATTGCCAAAGCTTCATTGAACAAGCTGAGGTTAGAAGCTGATTGGTTTCTATGCAGAAGGGAGTCTGATTTTGGACTCTCCAGCTTTAGTAAATAAACCCCTATGTTTCTATGTAATATTTCTGCTCACATGTTTACATTAAAGCTGCTCCTACCCTCACTGAAAATCATTTGACTTGTCTTTTTTATGATCCTATTTGCACCCACAATAACCCACTGGAGCAAAACCCTATTTCTCTCTAGTAGTTTATAGTTATGCAGGTGTGTCCTTAATTGGATTATTGAAATATTTTTACAAGAGAACTAGAGAACTATGCTCTAAGCTTCCGTGGATGTATCAGTCAGACAAAGGGACCTGAAGTTGACAATTCCCAAGGTTCTTGAAGTAGCATTTTCACTGAAGAACACCAGATGAGCAGCAATATGTGTGTTAAGGGATTATCTATTTACATATGCCTGATTTTTGCTTTAAATGCACTGTTGGAAATTAAAAACATAATTATATGATTTTGGGTCCTGCAGCAAGACATTAAGACTATCTCAGTAAACACAATTTGGTTGGTTGCATAAAGGAAGTATGTTGCCAACACACCTTGGATCTTTATTATATAGTCTGAATTTTTATTGAGAAGATCACATAATGGTACAGCATTCCAGGGCCATATAGGGCCCCTTTGTCAGGCCATGCCCAACAAAGGGGTTTTGCATGACACCAGAAACCTTGCACTATCTTCACTGTGATGTGGTTTTGTCAATAACAAACTGGACTTTATAGCAAAGATCCATAGTGTGCGGGTGACAAATTTTCTCAATGGTTAAGCAAAGAGCAGTTGCTTCAGCACCTTTCAACTTAAGGCCCTTTTACAGTAAGGAGTGCAGTGGAAATATAAGAAGTGGTTGGTTGTATAGTCTGACTTTTTGCTAGATTTGTCCTCAAATACACATGGCCAAATATTTCAGATAAAGCCATTTCATATTAATACTAATTACAGTGATCTTGCTTTTACTAGTAGTGAAGTCAGGTAATGACCACATATACAACTTAAGGCAGTGTTCATATTGTTGTAAATGCTACCCAATTGGCTTTTGATTTACTGCTAAGCATAGCAATGTAATTTGTGAGAAAAAAATAATGAAATATAGGCATCTCTGGTATAAATGATTGCTGCAAACTATAGTGCCTTTAGCTTTTTACTAATCTTTTCATGGAGCAGAAAAAACATATTCAGAGTAGTGCTTATTCGCCATAATTGAAAACTTCCACAGTTTCCTGCTATAACACATAGTCCATTTCTCTTTTGTATTGTCTTCAGCAAATACCTGTAGGTCGGATCATAATCATTGATTGGGCGCAGTCTCCAGTACACACATTCTTCCAATAGATGTAGCTTTTGCCATTCAGCATGACAAGATGGCAGTTATCATACCACCAGCCACTATAGGATGCTGCACAGTTACTGGAGGAACGGTCCTGATCTTTATCCTTTGTAGAGAACTTCATGTTGTCATGGATAATGTTTGAGTCAAATGTGGCAAGAAAGTCCCCTGCAGTGCCTGAGTGCCTGCCTAAACGGAGTGTATATCCGTTAACTTCCTTATCAAGACTAAAAATATCATAATCGGCATGCCACTCTTTCTCTGCTTTGTCTTTTAGTAAGAATCGAACCATGTAGACCTTCTGAGAGGTGAGAAGATGAATGTACTCATTGCCCAGCCAGTAATCCTCCATCACATTTCCAAAGCCATACTTGTAGGTGGTCCAGGATTCATGCCATGTAAGTTCAGTTTTATGCGAGTTCTTTTGAATTACAGTCCAACCTTTACCATCCTCATCCACGTGGCAGTAGACTACCAGTGGAGGTGATGTGTGGGGCTTGATTACATAAACACCACTTGGGCTTTCCTTTGGAAGCTTATCACAATCTCTGGGGAACCCTAAAAAGTGAAAACAATGGGTTAGTCAATATACCTTGAGGTGCACACTCACACAGCGCTGCAGTAGTACCACATGATGGAAAAGTAAAGGTTACAGGATGGGATAATACTTTGACACTGAGAGTGAAGGTTAAGAGTTCTTTATTATCTGTATACAGATATGTTCTTATAGCAGTTAAAAAGCATGGCTTAGTCTTCTACTAGATGGACAATTTATGTACATATTGGTGAGCAGACAAAAATATATAAATTATAAGTCACTCAGAGCAAAAAGTATAAGTGCACAAATATACATATGCACATGTAGCCACCTTGTATTAACAGGGGTGACCATTTAAATTTAGCCCTGCTGGGTGTTTGTCAGCCCAAGCTGTTTTGAAGATTATCTGTTCACTTGGTTTTCCCCTAGCTCAATATTGCTGTTGTTTCTCTCTGCTGCCTGAATGTATACTGATACCTCTGGCAAAAGTATGAGATGCCACAGTGATGCTGGGTTACGAATACTTATACTGTCTCTTGGGAGGATGTATGGAGGTTTTTAAGGTTTTTTAAGGACACACAGAGGCATGGGAACCAGTACACAGAGAATTCTATGAACCAGCCAGGGGTGCTATCTACAGTGTTGCCAGTGTCGGCTTAAGGCTCTTACATTGTAGCAGCTGGATGCAGAACTGGAAGTCTTTAAGTGTTGCTTGGGGTATTTGCAGCCCTATCCCTCTCTCCTTGTGTGATAAGTAATGTACCACTTGTAAATGTACCACTTACCCCCAGAGGGACCTTTGAAAGTAGACAGATCTTCTTTAGATAGTACAGAGGCCGCCAGTCTCACATACTCAGTCCCAAACACACTGACAATTAAAGCTCAGTCTAAGGCAAGTCTTTTTAGGGTTTATTGCAGAAGAGCTTAACAGGAGGAAGGGGTTTAGAGTCACAGGATACACTAAAATGATCAACACCCAAAACAGGAGGAGAAACTTCTCACTAGTTCCTCAATAGTATCTTCTCTGGACGTAGCAGGAAATAGTGGGTAGGTCTAGGGCCCTGCACCTGTAAACCATAGAACAATCTTTAGCTACTGATTGCCTTCTGATTTGCACATCTATCAGTCCCCAGCAAAGTCCCAGGAGCTGCCTGCCACCCAGCCACTACAAATAGATCCATAGTGAGTGGGAATAATAAAGTACTTCTCCAGACCAGGACTCTGAAACAGTGTCCTTTAGCAAGTGTACCTCTTCAGCAATTCTCCTCAGGCCCTCAGTCCAGCAATCACTGAGGCCCAAATAAAAGTCTCTTGTCTCATTGATCCTTCTTCTAGTAGTCCTAGGAATCCAGGAACATTCTCTGACGAGGAAAGAACAATCAGCTCAGTCCTCCTGTCTATTTATCCCTTTCCTAGCCAGTTTCTGGATGCCCCCTTCCAGGGATTGGCTAGGGCATGATAAATATTAAACCAATCATGTGAATCTCCCTCACTATGCTCTGGAAGCTTCTTCCAAGATAGAGGGAAGCAATCAAGCTCTTAGCTCAGGAACCCTGATCAGAATAAAACAATCAACAGCCACTCCACTTCCCAAAATGGAGCCAAAAAGTTTAAATTTACCTAGTAGCCAAAGAAGGATGACACTACAGTAATAAAATATATAAAATAAAAGATATTAAAACTACTGGCGCCCTACGTTTTCTCAGTCCCCCACATTCAACCACAGACCTCCAACCTAGGGTAAAATGCCAGCCCACCCTGCCACTGGGGGTCCCCCAACTGCTTCCAGGGGTCAGAGAGGTGCCTCATACAGATAAATGTCACAACCTTGAAGCGCACAATTTTATCTTATTTTGACAAATGTGTTAGTATAAGATGGAATGACCATCTGACCCTTTCATGGACTCGGCATCTTGCTGATAGCAAGTGTTAAGCTTCTTAATCTCAAATGCTAAATGTTCACAGGTTAATATTCCCTTTTGTTGTTAGAGCCCAGAAGCACACTTTCACGGTTGCTATGAATGGAAGGGAATCACCCTTGCTGGGACACAAACAGGGAAAGCAAGCTGACAGGTGTCCTAAACCTTTCCCTGCCTATGCGCAAGATAAAAAACGTTTTTTTTTATTTCTGTCTGCACACCCATTGGTGATATTCATAGATTCACTTCCAGAACACACAGGATCCCCCCGACCCCCAAAAAAAAAACCTCAAGCCTAAATTGCTACATATTTTGCATATAATAGAATTCTGATTTTGTGTTGGAATTAAATCATTTTTTTTTTTATAAAAAAAAAAAGTAGTTTATCTGGCTTATCTAACAAGGTGGAGCAAAGAACAGGAATGATTAACAAATTAAAAAAATCCAAAGGAACCATATTTAAGTTAAAGTAGAATTATAAGCCTTTTTTTTATTTTGGATAGAGTAAGGGAGGGTTATTACCCCTCTCAGACTTTTTTTTTCGCCATCTGTGTCCCAATGCGGAGATTTCCTTTCACTTCCTGTCTCTTAGCTAAACAGGAAGTGAGAGTAAATTCCTGCAAATTGTGGCAGTTTCTTGGGCCACAAGAACTTCTCCATTGGAAGATTTCCCCTCTATTACTTTTCTGGGGACAACCCAAAATTTGGAATTTTCTTCCACTTTCATTTTCAATGAAAGCTGTACACAGAACAAACAGAGATGGTGAAACTCCCTAATGGGGGCACAAACTGCAATAAAAAGTGACATGGGGTTCTAATCCCTCTCCATTCTACTCAAAAAATGTTTTAAAAATTTACCCTTAGTTATTCTTTAAAGCAAATACTAACAATGAGCTTCCCCGATTGCTTTCCTTTGCTTTGTAAATTTACCATTCTCAGTGCTTTGTTTTATCTGTTCTTTATGTGCAAAACATTTCTTGTTGCTTCTACCAGAAATCCATGAAACTTGTAATTTCTGTAGTGATCACAATCATCTCTGCTGGACTGAAATCCCAAGGAATCTTATCAGATCCCTTTCAGGTTTTTTGTAGTGGTCTGGATCATATTGGAAGTAGGTGAGCCTAAACAGACACAAGTCTGTTTATACTCACCAGGCCAAAGGGGTGAATGGAGGGTCTGGTCAGGTCCTCCTGAAAAATTGACAGGTGGATCTCGTCAGACCCTTCGTGTGAAAGGGGCCTAAAAGTAATTTCTAGCATAATGCATCTGATAAAAACAATGGTATAATACCAGATTTCTCCTTAATGAAGCCCCAAATGCAGTTTAACTTTCTATTTCATTTCCAAATTTCACTGGCAGATGTTATTTTGCCCACCCCCCCTTTTGCCACATGCAACACTAAGTGTAATTCCAACTGCCACCCCCACCCAATGTTCAGTATTTAATGATGAACTCCAAGTAGAAGAACATTGATCATTGATATTGTAGTGTTATGTGACTACTTTTTGTACCAATTTTAGGTCAGATATTGCAGTCATTTATACTGTGAACTGTGTTCCTAATACATTTTGCCTCACTGAATGGATATAATAATTAACTATCCGAATTATTAACATACTAAAGAGACATCTTTTAAAGTGATTTTCTGATTTAAAACCACACAATTAATAGTAATAAACCAGTCTCATAATAATCTCAACATTTATATATATTGTTACTCATTAGTGATGCAAAATGAGATAAAATCTCACCTTCTTGAAGTCTTACTTTTTGAGGTTCATCAGCGGCAAATACTGAGAACAGGCACAGGATACAGGCTGCCAGGGGCCAATATATTGCTTCAAATCGCCAACCTAACCCAGTAAAGCAGGAGACATAATGAGACAGGCAAATTACTATGACAATGATTGTTGAAGGAATTTTAAAAACAAAAGTAAGAAACTAAAATCTACTTCTTCATCTGGGCTATGTTATTGCAGTAAACCGGGAACTGCTCAGGTGTAATATACATGCCGTTATATTCTCACCCATTGCCTTCTCTTAATATTTTATACAGACACAAGGAGTCACTATTTATACAGAGATAATAGTCTCCTCCCAGACTCTGTGTATCAAAGCAAGAAGGTACAAGCCACTGCAATTACAGACTTACAAAGTCCATTAGTTGCTTAGAATGTTTATTACTTTGCTCAAGGTTACTGTTACCTGATATTTAGTCTCTTGCATTTTTGCTTTTTAAATGTACTATCTGCCTTTCTCACCTGCCTCTAACACTTATTTTATACTTTGTACCATGGCAGAGGATATTTTTTATAAATATTTAAATGTCACTTACCAATTTGAAGAGTGATTTTTACATACAGTACATTTTTACAGGATTGAGGAAGGCTGGATTTGTTTTCCTAAAACAACTGCATGGGCAAACTGTAAAATGTAAGCAGAAATGCAAAGGGTGCCACCATCTGAGTGTAGCAGTTTAATAAAACAAATGAATAAAAGACATGTACGCACTCCCATCAGGTAAAGAAAGCATCACACTTATCATCCCTTATAAGAATCCCAACTGGAGCGGCTCTATGTCCTATGCAGAGTTAGGCAAGGAAGGGTCCAAGTAATGCAGAGCAAATGCCAGCGGCTGATGGTGGAGAGCAGCTGTGGGAACCAACGTGTGTAGCAAACTTGCTCATCGGAGATGGACGCAGAGTCCCCCTTTTTATTAAAAGTATTCCTTTATCCTTTATTCTCCTTCCCCCTCCTTTCCTGAGAGGCACAGTGACAGATGTGTGTGTGTTAAAAGTCACTGGCAGGTAGAGCAGCAGGGGGCCCAGAGCTACAAAGCCCCGCAAGATCGACAGAGTCCCTCGGCCAGAGAGCATATGTAATTTCTCACCTCGTAACCGAGATAAGGCAGCTTCTCCCAGGAGTTGAAAGAGATTGTAACCTCATAAAACCTAATTTTTTGTGTGTGTGTGTTTTTGATGGCTTAGTAGTACCCCCACTCATCAGTTTCCAGGCTAATTAGTACCCCCATTCAGCAGATCTCCAGCTCATTAGTTTCCTGGCCCAATAGATCTCCTGATTAGAGGTTCCCCAGCTTTAGTATAT